TATTAAGTACGTCACAACTTTGAATCCCACTTCTTTACCGGGGTCAAGCAACTAAGAAGGCACTTAAAAGTTGTGACGTTTAGCGCCCCATCAGTTTTGTCACTCAGACACAAGCTACTTCCAGGCACAAGCTACTTCCAGGCACCAGAAGTGCGAAGCTTTCTTGACCCTGACTCCTTCGAAATATCGGTTAATAAATAAGGAAATGGACAGTAGAAATAGAAAAAGAAGGAAAAGGTGATAATAGGAGGAATGAAAGTTACATAGTAAGTAGAAAAAAAAGTACAGAAATGCCGTTGGCCGACAAAGTTGGCCTTACCGGTGGGCAGCATGTGACTTTTATTTTCTTTTATACAATATGAAATCTCGTTTGTAGAAAAACTTCAATTTCCCGGCTGTTTTCGTTTTCCTCTGGTATGAAATGTGGACTGGATTCTTCCTCTATATTATCTTGACACTATTACTTTCATTCCCGATATTAACTACCTTTATGCTATTATATTATTATATATTATATATTTTTTCCCACCTTGAACCTTTCATCACTTTCGATTAACTCTAACTAACGCGAAGCCGTTGAACCAGCGGAAGATTTATTTTCTCCTCCATACAAATTTCTACTTACTATGGCTCTCACCAGATTACTTTCACACGAACAGACTTTGAACTGCATTACCGAACCACAAGGTAAGTAAGGCTTAACACCCTCTGCCCTGAAGTATATGCAGCATCATAGCTACATGGTAGACACACACATACACACACGTACACCCGCATGTATACACAGGGCCGCCGAGAGAAAATCGGGGCCCGGGGATAATTCAAATGCGGGCCCCCAACACCTTAATTTCAAGATCTAACAAATATGTTTATTTGTACTTACACAGCAAATCAACGAGTTGGGGATTAAGATAGGATTGAACTTGAATAAAAATGAAAATGTGTGAGTAATCCTGAACAATTTTTGTTTAAACAATTTTATTACCTTAGTTTGCATCACAATAGTATTTTAATAGGTAGCAACCCTCAAAAATATACATTCCTTGCTTTAGCTGATGCAAATTCCTCAATGATAATACCGAAGTCAAGTTTTCTAGCTAATTGAGATTCCAAACATAACGTTGCCAGTCCTGAGACTCGATATTGGCTTGAACAAGAACGATGATAGTTCTTTATTCTTGAAAGTACGCTAAATGATCGCTCAGCGCTAGCAACTGAGAAATTGAAAAATTGATCTTTTTCATACAAAACTAAATCTAACTGCAATGACTGTAAGATAAGAACATGCGTCACATACATCATATGTGAAGTAACAAAAGTACTGATATTTTTCAGACGCGTAGAATTAGTATCGCAATCCATGGAAATCTGTAGTCAGTTACGTCATAGATATTCTAGAAGCAAACTATTCTATATACGATAACGAAAACACCGGGCCCCCTTGCAATCTACGGGCCCGGGGGGAAAAGTCCCCGATTCCTCCCCCCCCTCTCGTTGGGCCTGTGACAAGGCTGTTGTTACAACGGTGCTAGTTTTCTACAGTTGAGGCACTTCCTGGCTAGCCTTTGTGACTGTTGCACCTTACAAATCTTTTCATTAATTATGTTATATTTTACTTTTGTACACGGACGTGTTTCTTTTTACTGCACTAAAAGTTAAAAAAATCAAAGTATTAAATCGTTGAAATTCATACATTCATTGTAGTGAATGTATAGCTACCTAAGTTGGCATAAACGAAATAAAAATAGCAAAAAAAAAAAATCATTTGTAAACATAAACAATCAACAGAAAACTAAAATCAGAAATTAAAAAGAAAAGTCAACCGGAATTTAACGAGTGACCAACGCTCAAATCATAAAAAGAGGAAATCTAGTCCTCCCAAAATAGTGATTAATGCTAAGAGGCATAATAGCGTTGACTTCACTATCGATGCTTATGGTCATGCACCTAAAGAGAGCAGATTTGCCCCCTTAAATAAGGAAGAGACTATAACACAGAGGGTGTTTCCACAGTTGCCAATATTAATCGCTACTAACATAGGCAAGGTAATAGGAACCAAAAATTTTTAAATTGTAACTCTTAAAAAAAGAAACATAGACGAGACAAAAATATAAGTAAACAACGAAAAAGATTTCCGTGAAGTCGTTGTATTTCTTTCTGCAAACAACAAGAGTTACTTTTCTTTTCAGTTGAACAGTACGAAAGGCTTGATTGTTGTAATTAAGGGAATTGAAGATTCTGTTGACTCAGGGGGTTTAAAAGAAGCTCTAGAGGTGCGAGGATTTGAGACTAGGGCGGTCGTTAACATAATTAACAGAAATTAAGTGCTGCACACATCTCATTTACGGTTTAAAATACCTTTCCCACCGAAGAATCACGGTGGAAGAAGCACTCAAGCGTAATGGTCCCGTGCAATGCACAAACTATCTGGAGTTTAGTCACACAAAATAATAATGTACTTTACGTCTGCGTAGCATGTGGTGATCTTCGCCATTCTACCAAATGTTCTTGAATAAAAAGAATGCAAGACAAAAAAAGTGTATAACAACGGCAGCAATCACACCGCTAATTATAGAGATTTTTTGGGTTTCAAAGATTTAAAATCCAAACTTTCGCAGGGTATACAAGCTATCGGAAATGACCTATGCCAACGGATTTAAAGTCAATGTACGGGCTCCGCCAGTCACCCCTTCCCGACCTGGAGTTGGGGCCATGATTCTTAATCTAACCCAGTGCTTGGCACAATTTAGGTCAACCGTGCAAAGTATGGTTCAATACCAAATGCTCCAAATCATGTTGACCAAAATATGAGTGAACTCAGGCGTAAACCAGCATAAATTAGCACTCAAATTATTCTTACAGACTCACGAAATTGATGTTATGTTTATATCTGTAACACATCTCCCTCAGAAGATCATATATTTTTATATCGCTGGGTTTAAGCTGTACAAGACTAATCGCCCAGAGGGCAAAGCACATGGCGGCACAGCTATACTCGTAACGAACCGTTTAAACCAGCTTTCTCAATTTCTTTTCAACAAATTGGTTGCAGTCAATTTCGATCACCATTAAAAATGGGAGGTTGACCTTACTTTGGCTGCGATTTACTGTCCGCCACGTTTTGTATTAACAGAAAAACAATTTAGCGACTTTTTCCTGACTCTAGAAGATAGGTTTGTAGCTGGAGGTGATTACAATGTGAAGCACACTCATTGGGGATCGAGGATAAATAACCCGAAAGGTCGTCAGTTATATTAACCGGTCATGAGTACCAAAAACATACGATTTTATCTTCCCAAGACGGCCAACTTACTGGCTTACGACTTGGCAGTCACTAAAGACGTAGATAGGAGTTTAGTATTTGCTGAAACTTGTGCTGTTTTATCTTCTGATTATTCCCTAATAATCATAAAATTGAACGAACAAGCATGTGAAAGTGATCATGCTTTTCGACTTACTATATCAATAACTAACTGAAATAAAGAGAGGAACTGATGTTGAAAAGGAGTTACTTGTATTCAACAGTATAATAGCAACAGCAAGAGCAAAAAACAAAAGCATTGATAACTAATAGCGAAATAGAAATACTGGTCCGAAATAAGCGACGTTTGCGTCGCGAATGGCAAGCCTACTGATCTCCTGATGCAAAACTCGCCTTAAGATGGCGGAAACAAACTAAACAAGGCAATGAGATACGAAGAAGAAAGAAATATGAAAAATCTTATAGCGTCTTTATCTCCCAACGTTTCTACTAAAAAATCTCTATGGAAAACAAGCAAAAACCTTAAGCCGACAGTAAGCACTGAAATACCGTTGAGACTGTGTAATGGTTCATGGGCCAGAACGGATGAAAAAAAGGCGTCTTGATTTACAGAGCACCTAAATAATTTAAGCCAAATACTGATACAATAGCGCGCGTTTGTTACCGAACCATACTTAAATCAAAAAAATCTCCAGGAGACGATAATATCTTACCAAAAATGCTAAAAGAATTGCCAAGCATTGCTGTCGTTTTCTTGCACAGCTTTTCAGTGCCATTTTAATGCTAGGATATTATCCAGAAAAATAGACAAAGTCGCACATAATTAAATAGCCAAACCAGGTAAAGACGCGACCCTGCCATCATCATATAGACCAATCAGCCTGTTTCCTTGCTAAACCAAACTTTTCGAAAAAGTGCTGTTATCAAAAATTACTCCTTTCCTTCATCAAAATAATATTATTCCTACTCATCAATTTGGTTTTCGGGAAAAACACGGCACAAAAGAACAAGTAAATCGCATGTAAATCTTTCGAATTGGGAAAGTATTGCTCGGCTAGAGATCTAAGGACACCTACCATCAAAGAAGAGATTGATATTGCAGCGCAAATATACTTAATAAAACTGCGTAACCATCCGAACTCGTTGGCTAACACCTTGGCCCATGCAACAAGTCAAATCCGCCTGCGAAAAACAGAAAGCAGCCTATTCCTATCAATGGCTTTTATGTTTTAATTTAGTTTAAGATTTTATTACTTATTGTTAGGCTTCCGATGTCGAAGCAGACCCAATAAATAAAGACTAATGTTAAAAAAAAAATATAAGTGTAAACTCTTTGTGCTAAAGCCAAAAGCTTTAAATATTTAATATATTCACTGGAAGTTTTCCGTCACCTTGTTATCTACTAACACTGAAGTCGGAATACTACCGGCGATGTTTATAATCATATATTAATGGTTTTTAAGCTAATGTTCCGCTAAAAACGGGCTCATTTTTTTAAAGACCGCTACAGCAGTGGACCTAAGCGAACGAAGCAAACAAGCGAACTTTACATAGATGTAATTTTTCTAGTTCTTATTTCCTGTCTTATTTAAAAATATATATACATATATACATATATACATATATACATATATACATATATACATATATACATATATATTCATATCTATAATTACATATTTCAAAGATTATCCATACACATGCATATACCTCCATATATGTATGTGTTGGTAATCCACCCCCAATTGTTAGTTTTAAATGATTTATTTCAATTTGTTTTCTTTTTAATTTGTTCCTGCGGAAAAACGCTGAGGTAAGCCGGCGGTCGAGAGTGTTTATATTTTGATATAAACATTTAGTCCTTCTAGCCGGTAGGTGAGGTCAACTTTCACCATCGATTTTCCAGGAAAACAAACTCATCCAACATTATTCATCATCCAACAAACATAGAGAGAGGAGTATTCAAAGCAATCACCAACCAACAAGGAATTAAAGCCAAATAATAAATACGTATATCAGCAGAAACAATTACGTGCAAATAAAAAAAAGTGAGCTAATAACAAATTGTAAGAATCTTAATAAAGTTCAAAATTAATGTGCAACTAAAAAAGTAGAGGTGTGTATGTATGTATATACATAGGTGAAGAAATATATAAGACCATACTTCTATTACAAACATACATAAATACATTTATACAAAGAAACTAAAATATTTTAAAGTCATTCGTTAATGTTTTTTTTTAATATGGGGGGGTGTCGGTTTTTTAAAGTTGGGGGGTAATTTTATTTTTCATTTTCACATGGTGATAAATTTGATGAAGATAGTGCCAAAATATTTTTAAAGATTTTTGAATTTTAAAATAAAATTGCATATACACATCTGCGCTAAAATCGCTATTGTTTTTTGTGCTTCCAGTAGTATATTTGCTTAGCATTATTTCAATTACTACATACGTACATACCTCTCATATTTTCCATTTATTTATTAACGTTTTTACTTAAACTTATATACATGATACTTTGCATATACTTCTCAAACGGACAAGGTTTAATTTAAAAATTTTTTTTTTTAAACACCCCACTAATCACTGAATTTTTTTTTTACAGTGAAGTAATGAAGTTTTATTAGTAAAGCAGTGAAAATATAATGAATTAGTGATAATAACATTAATATTTAGTAGTTCCACCCTTCGATTTAATAACAGCAGAAATTCTCTTAGGCATGCTGACACAAGCTTCGTCCGCACTTGAAGCGTACGACTCGTTAATTAAGGCATTCTTTAAGGCAGTTTTTGATTATATACTGTATATATACTCCATCTTGCGTTTTAAAATAGTCCACATGTGCTCAATGGGATTAAGATCCGGAGACTATGCAGGCCAATCTAACAAAACAATGTTGTTTTCTCTAAACCAACGCACCGGGGTCGCTGATTTGTGTCAAGGAGCATTGTCTTGAAATTGACCTCCTCTAAATTAGTATCGCCAAAGATGCTCGTTAACTCTGCTTCTAATAATTTTTGACTGTCCATGCGACCCACGCAAACGAACATTTCCCCGACACCATCAGCACCCATGCAGCCCCAGATAATAACGCTGCTTCCTCCATGCTTAACAGTGGGTATCACGCGATCTGTATGATATTCTTCCCCAACCCGCCGCCTCGTGAACGCCACACCAGGTGTTCCAAATATCTGTAAAAAAAATAATGTTTTCATAAGACTTGTAGTATGTCATCAAAATTGCTCTTGGGTAAGAAGCTATGGCTGTTAATACTTTAAGACGATCTTAATTAAGCTTACCTCGAAGTTTGATTCATCAGACCACAGAACATTCGACCAATCTTCTTCCGTGAAATAATGGTATCGGCGAGCGTATTCCAAACGATGTTTCCTATTCTTTTCTGAGAGCCACGACTTCTTTTGGGCTTTACATTATTTTAAACTTGCTTCCAGAAGTCATTTTCTGTTCGAGCGCTGACTGGTTTACTAAATTCATCCGAAAGGGCAGCTGCAAGGGCGGAATAAGATTTTTTGCGATTCTTGAGAGATTCGCGCATAAGTATTCGGTCTTCTCGTTTACTGGTTAAATACTTTCTTCCACTTTTCGATTTATTATTTTGGGATTTCGTCTCCACAAATCCCCTGATATCACATTGGACCGCGCACCGCGAGCATCCCACCAAATTGACAATCTCAATCTGAGACTTACCTTCTTCATTCAGAACTTGAATTCTAACTCTATCATCGTAACTAATTTCACTTTAGTTAGGCATTTCGGTAAATAGGAACTGTTTTTATAAGATTGATAACTTTTCAAATTGTAATTTACACTTTCACTTTCAAATTTTAACAAAATGACAGTTATTAGCTTTAGCTTACCCTGAGTGCTACGACTTTTAATATTACACAATTTATTCGTTTAATCAACAGTTAAACACCCATGTAAGATATTTACAACAAGAAGTGGTATCAAAGTTACCCACATTTGAAAATACTTGTTTTTAGTGGGGTGCCTAATACTTTTGGCTAGGGCTATATATATGTGTATATATGTATATATATACTTACATATATTCAATTCCTTTCTGGTTCTGAATAATAAGTTAATTTTTTGTGATATTTTATCCCGTGCTTTTCACGTATACAAAAATCGCGAAGCTTATACATATATACAAATAAATATTTACATACATTCTCGCTCTGCTTTACATTAGCTGTGTGGATTTCATTTTGTTAGTTTTCTAACGGTTAAAGCATTTCTTCTTACATATTTACCAGTACATACAATAGTAGTCTTTTCTATTATTTAATAAAATAAAAGGGCAAAAGGGTAAAATATACCCAGTAGGAAACAAAGGTAGCGTATGACAAATGCGTAAATGCCATTGGGAATAAGGATTATCTTTCGTGCTTGGCGCGCCTTACCGAGCGCATTCAAAGTTTGCGCTAAAACTCGCCGCATCAAAATCTAAGGGCCAAAGGGCAATAATACACCCAGTAGGAAATTTTTCAGTAGTGTTCATTTTATATAAAATCTTTTCGTGAATAGTAGTCTTTTTTCTTATTTAATAAAATAAAAGGGCGAAAGGGTAAAATATACCCAGTAGGAAATTTTTCAGTGGAATTCATTTTAAATACAATCCATTCATGAATAATAGCCTTGGAACAAAACAAAGGCAGCGTATGACAAATGCGTAAATGCCATGGGGAATAAGGATTATCTTTCGTGCTTGACGCGCCTTACCTAGCGCATTCAAAATTTCTCTATGGATGTTGACAATAAAGCAAAGCTCCGCTAACAAATCTGGAAATTGAAATATATTGGCCAAACTTGCAGTCTGCTTATGAGAACAAATGCGCTCTAGTGAATAGCTAATTCAAGATATCATTTTCAATTCCGGCTATTCTAACGGAAACTGCAATAGCATTGAAAGAGTTACATAGAGTTTTAAATGGATGCATTTCTGCGTTGGATATGTATGAGGTGAACGCAACCAATTGGGATCCTTTCCTAGTTTTCATTTGTTCGAACCGACTTCTAGCGTCTACATAACGTAAGTGGGAAAGCATCTTAACAGACAAAACAGCTGTGCCTAAACGGACTCAAATGAACGACTTCCTTTAGTAGCGGTTTAAGTCATTGGAATCAGTATTGGATGTAAAATGCCAATCACCATCGAATGGAGCACATAGACCAATAAGGACATCATCGCAACCGAGGCTTCAACTCGGCCAAAGCAAACTTGCTCTAGTGACAAGTGTTTCACAACCCACCTGTGTTTTATTCCGAGAACAACATTCTTTAAGACTATGTAAAACTTTTCTGTTGCTTTCGATAAGCGACCGATATAACATACTACAATAAAAAACATAGCTGCTGTTTTAACTGCTTCAGAAAAGGACTTTCTGTCAAAGATTGCAAAAGTTCGTTCTTGCACAACGTGCCGTAATCGACACCATATTCTATTACATAGACCACCGCTTTATACATCAATGAGTAAGGATATCTCAAATCAAGGGTCATCAACAAAAGCTTTTCATGCTCATTTGCAGTCCACTTCTTCCAATAATAGTTCAAATTCTATAAGCACTGCTCCACTTTACTAAGAAGTGCAATGATCCATATTTGTCACATGGGCATCACTTTTGTTGTGCGTGCAGTGATTGATTCAGCATCCGAAGCTACGTTCATTTCTGACCGTTTTCGAAATCTTACTACTACTTCTACAAGGACGAATGCTACCATTTCATGATTATCTTTACCTTTCAAAAGCTTTTATCCGACGGATTTGAAACTAAGATAATTCCGTTATACAGCCTTACAATATGTTCGCAATGAAGCAAGGGTGCATAAGAACTCTTCACTCAAGATTGAGTAAGGCTCCGTACTCATAGAATTCTTGACTTAAGGTCATTTAGAAAAGATGGTACCGCCACAATATGAACATTTTCCAAAACATTTCTATTTGCCACATCATGCAGTTTTAAAATCGAAAAATACTTCAACGAAGCTTAGCGTAGTATTCAATGCATCCAGCGATTCATCTAATGGCGTTTATCTTAATGATATTTTGCACGCAGGCCCAGCTTTGTAAGCTGACTGAAGACATCTACTTATGGGTTGGCGGATGTATAAGTTTGCTTTTAGTTCAGACATCGAAAAAATGTATCGCTAAATATTGGTTAATCCTACCCACAGGCCCAAAGAGTTCCTTTTAGACAGTATGCAGACAATGAGAAGTCTGATTATCAATTAAATACGATTTCCTTTGGGATTAATTGTGCTCCTTATTTGGCGTTTAGGACACTCTTACAATTAGCACAAGATACGCAGAAATATTATCTGTTAGAAGCTCAAATTCTTCCTAATTCAATGTATGTAGATGATATTTTGGCAAGATTTCATGACATCTCAACAGCTTTACAATCAAAAGATCAGCCGATAAAGGCGTTAGGTAGTGCAGGGATCTTAAAAAGGAGTGTCTTTTAGATGGAGAATTTTTGGAGTTAGAATGACCGAGCTCAACAAAAACATTAGAATGTTTTGCGACGCGTCGGAAAATGCATACGCGGGGGGGAGGGGGGTGGTGATATATGTGCGCTAAGAAAACCATGGACTTGTTTCGTCACATCTTTTACTAGCCAAAACTAAAGTTGCACCTATTTTTCTTCCCCGTTTGGAATTATGTGGCGCAGTCTTGATTACAGACAAGCTAACATCCGTTCTGAATGAGCTTCGGATGAAGATAGATAACGTATTTTGTTGGACCGATTCTATTATCGTTTTTTCTTGACTAAAAAGGCCACCTGGCTTTTGGCTCCTGGACAACCTTTGTGGCGAATCGAGTAGCGAAAATTCAGGAATTTTTTGAGTTTGGACACTGGCGTCATGTGGATTCTCATGATAATCCTGCAGATATTGGTAGTGAAGGCACGTTATACCAGGATGTACGTTTAAATACTTTGTGGTGTTAAGGTCCGAAATGGTCCGTCATGTCTGTCTGTAGACATTAAGGATATAAAATAGGATCTGAAGAACACAGCGATTTAGTCGGTGGATTACCGATTTATTCAAAACTCATTATTTTGAACCCTAAGTAGTAAGCAAGTAAGTAGTAACTCTTCATGGAGCTAAGCAATTAGTCCTACGGTCGATACGCCGGCACTATTGGACTCCAAAAGTGAAGAATCTAATAATGTATGCCATTAATAGTTGCAAAATATACGTTATTCATAGAAAAGAGGGCAGTTCCAACTAATGGCGGCACTGCCTGAAAAAACAACAGTTCTGTCGAATCCTTACGGAAATACAGGCGTCGACCTCGCAGGCCCTTTCGAAATTAAAAGTTTTACTGGCAGAGCTTGCAAAATTACAAAGGAATACGTTCGCATTTTTGTCTGTTTTTAAATGAAATCAATGCAATTGGAACCAACAAGCAGGTGCTCCCCATATGGGTGGATTATGGGAAGCTGGTGCCAAAAGCTTCAAATTTCACTTTCGGCGAGTATCCAATTCGCATAGATTTACATTTAAGGAATAGAAGCCTGCCTTAATTTCAGGCCTTTTTTTACCGAGTTCGGAGGATTCTACAGACTTTGCTGCTTTGACACCTGGTCATTTCCTAGTCGGTGTTCCGAGTCTTGCAGACCACCAAATCGAAACGAATCCTTTCTTTAATAAATCTGAGGCAGAAAGTAAAGAGAAAGACTTAGCCATCAACATTCACTTCGATGGAAAGAAGTATTTGAAAGAGCTTCACAAGCGTTATAAATGGAAGTTTCTTCAACGTGTTATCATTAGTTCTAAAAGTGTGATCCTTTTCTTTTCACAGCCTTACATAATGGAATTAGTAAAAATCAATTCGTCATCTTCTCCAGCACCATTGGTTTAGCCAATATCTTAACCAAAACGTTATCTACCAGCCAAGGCGCTTTCTAGACGCCAATTATGAACGCCGGCTCCGTCTCATTTTGTTGCATTAGTATTGTTCACGTTGTTTAGTATATTCTCATATTGCGAAGAGATGTCAAAGCAAAGGCTCGTGCGCGTATTGCAATGAGGACGATCACACCTTGTTTCATGTCGATCATCGTCTCACCCCCCGTCGTCAACTTCCACCTTCCACAGCGCTTCGCGATCCTTGTTCGCAGACCAGCAAAATTTGCAAATCTTTGGTTAAAAAAATTACGTGGACCGTACTAGTGGCAAATTTAGAGAGGTGTGAGATCGTAATGGGATCATCCAGTGAATCACGCGTAAGATTTTTATTGACTGTGACAATAATACAAGAGATCGGCTCGAAGACTCCAGCGCGCCATCTGAATTCATCTGTAGCGGAGAAGTTTACAAATGTAAAGTTAGCGGATTGAACATTGATTGAGCATTGAACTATTTTACGTTTTTTTCTATTTGTTGCAATTCTCTAATACTGCAAGGCTGGCGGTAATGTTAAAGCCAAAAGCCACTGGAAGTTTGCCGTCACCTTGTTATTTACTAACACTGAAGTCGGAAAATTACCGGTGATGCTTATTATCATATTTTGATGGTATTTAAGCTAATGTTCCGCTAAAAACGGGCTCACTTTTCTAAAGACGGCTACAACAGCGGACCTTAGCGAACAAAGCAAATAAGCGAACTTTATGTAGAGGTAAATAATTTTTCTAGTTCTTATTTCCAGCCTCATTTAAATATATATGCACATATATACATATCTATAGTTACATATATCCATATATGTATGTGTTGGTAATCAACCCTTAGTTGTGATTTTTAAATGATTTATTTCAATAAATCGTCTTTAATTTTAAAATACTAATACTTTGTTTTCTTTTTCATTTTTTCAGTGGGAAAACGCTGAGGTGAATCGGCGTTCGCGAGAGTTTATATTTTGATATAAACACTGTGTTTGCAGGTTTTTAGTTTTCGAGAACTGTCAAGTGTTTTCACTGGATGTTTACTGAGTTTAGAACTGTTATTTATATTTGTTTACTAATTTTCATTGTTAAGGGCAAACTTATACAAAAAGTGAAATCAATAAATTCAATAAAATGGTGAATAAAACTAAAATTATTATTTTGATTGTGTCATTTTATCTTAAATTATTAGATAGTGAAGTGACGATATTTCATTTAAGAAAGAAAATCGCGGAAAACAAAAGGCTGATTACTATTGCTATGCATATACTTCAACAAAAATTACATTTGGTATGTTAGCAATTGAAATATAAAAATTTCATACTGCTTTAAATAATTTTTAGGAGCATTCCAAGAAATTTTAAAGAAATTGACTGAGGAATGGTGAAAATAATTTCGGATTGATAGGTCTTCTTTCGATAAGCTCTGCACTCTTCTAAAAAAATTAACAAAAGGAATACTAATTAAAAAGATGCAATTCTATTGGACAATCGCATTGCAATATTTATTTGGAGTAGACAAAGCAACTTTTTGCAAAATATTTATTGAGTTTTGCAATAAAGTTTGGGCATCTCTGGCTTCAAATCATTTAAATAACAATATTTTTACAAGGAGTCAAATTGAATAAGCTGTCGTAGATTTCAATTTAATTTTATTTGAAAGCGCTTTTTATAAAATAGATGGTTGTCATACTCCCAAAAACAAAACGAAGTTATTGACTACTATAATAACAAAGGGTTATACTCTCATAGTACATACTTCTGGCTTTGGTGGATGCTAAATATAGATTTGTTTATATTCATTATGGTAGCCCGGGAAGATCCAATGATTCTTAAATTTTTGAAAATTTATCTCTAAAACGTCAACTACTGGAATACCCATTACTGAATGAATTGAGCTGGCATTGTGGATCCACAAAAATTCCAGTCCACATTATAAGCGATTAAGCTTTTCGCCGATTACAGTATATGATGAAACCCTACTCATAAAGAGTGAACACCACTCGTGAACAAAAAACATTCAACTACATGTTATCCAAATTTCGACACGTTGTGGAAAGTGCTTTTGGCCATCTAAATGCCAAGTGAATTAATCTAACGTTTTATACTCTTTCAAACGTGTTACAATTTATGTTATTTTAGATTTAGAAGAATTTGAAACAAAAAATGCATATATAGTTATTTGTGCTGCGTGAGCTTTGCACAATTTTTTAATTAGTAGTAAGGACTGAATCGTAGAGAATTAGTTGGTGGAAATTGAAGAAAATACAACGCGCAACCTCCAATTCAACAACAATCTAAAAGTAAGAAATGCAATAAAATAATATTTCAGTAAGTTTAATTGTAATAAATAAATAATAATAAATCCACATATCTTTTTAGGTAAGTTTTAATATACTAAATTAACAATATTAAACTAACAAAGAAATAAAAATTTCATTTCAGCTCATTTTATTTTCATACAATTTCAGCATGTAAATTAACAATATTAAATTAACATAGTAACTTAAACATTGAAGCTTCATTCAGTTCATTTAATATAAGTAAAATATAAAGCAGTTCAATTATTCAGTTTCTCTCTAAAAAAAGTTGCAATACTCTGCGACAACTGTTCAATTGCCGTCACTTTCTATTTTTCATTATCTATTAACTCTGCCGTTAATTTATTGTTTTCTGTCATCGTTGTTTTTATTGTTTCATTCAATACATCAATTTTTTTGTTTTTAAGTACAGGCGCTGCTGCACAGGCTTCGTCAACGACAGACTCAGTCGAGATCGGAAATGGACGGTGGCGACTCAGGCGTTCCTAAAATATTTCAACAAAATAAAATTAAAAAATTTTAATAATTGGTAATTTTATGAATAAATTTACCTGCTATGCTATTCACGACAATGACATCAATATTATTAACATGGCCATTCCCTATGATCCTGTGGACTCGTCCGTAATATATCCAAGATAGAGGCGAACATCCTGTGCTTTGTTGTGCTTTGCACTTTCTATAAATCTTAATTAGTAGCATTGAAAAATTAATTAAATACTAATATATTAATATTTTTTACCTATATTTAAGTACAAAATTATGTATATTATATTTTATGTCTAGTGCACGTACTTCCAGCTGATACGCTAGCAGCGACTGTGCGAACTCACATTCGGCATATATATGTGAGCTTTTTCGGGAGCTGCGCAGCTCCATGAAAGCCGTTTCTGCTGCTAGCCCCAACTTTTTCTTTGTTTTCTATATTGGCTCCATTAACACAATGCACTGCCTTGCCTAAAAGTATTAGCCACCCCACTAAAATACAAGTATTCTCAAATGTGGCTATCAAAGTTACCACTTCTTTTTGTAAATATCTTACATGGGTGTTTAACTGTTGACTAAAAGAATAAATCGTGTAATATTAAAAGTCATAGCACTCAGGGTAAGCTAAACCTAAAAATTGTAGTTTTTAAGAAATTCATAAAATATTTTCGCATTTAAAATTTGTAAGTGAGAGGTAAATTACATTTAGTGAAAAATTACCAATCTTATAAAAACGGTTCATATTTACCGAAATGCCTAAAAAATGTGAAATTAGTTACAATGATAGAGTTAGATTCAAGTTCTGAGTGAAGAAGGTAAGTCTCAGATAGAGATAGCCAATTTGGTGGGATGCTCGCGCTGCGCGGTCCAATGTGCTATCTGGCGATTTGTGGAGACGAAATCCCACAATAATAAATTAAAAAGTGGAAGAAAGCGTTTAACCAGTAAACGAGAAGACCGAATACTTATGCGCGAGTCTCTCAAGAATCGCAAAAAATTTTCTTCTGCCCTTGCAACTGCCCTTTCGGATGAATTTAGTAAACCAGTCAGCGCTCGAACAGAAAATGACTTCTGGAAGCAGGTTTAAAATAATGTAAAGCCCAAAAGAAGTCGTGGCACTCAGAAAAGAATAGGAAACATCAATTGGAATAGGCGCGCCGATACCAACATTTCACGGAAGAAGATTGGTCGAATGTTCTGTGGTCTGATGAATCAAACTTCGCGGTAAGCTTTATTAAGATCGTCTTAAAGTATTAGGGCAATTTTGAAGGCATAATACAAATGTAATGAAAACATTATTTTTTTCTTTTCAACATAATTGTGACGTTCGTGCGGCGACGGGTTGGGGAAGAAACCATCCAGATTGCATGGTACCCACTGTTAAGCATGGAGGAGGCAGCGTTATGATCTGGGGCTGCATGGGTGCTGATGGTGTCGGGGAAATGTTCGTTTGCGTGGGTCGCTTGGACAGTAAAAAAAGCATAATTGTTTTAGAAGCTGTTATTCTGCTTCCGTTAACGCGCATTTTCGACGATACGAATTTAGTCGGGGTTCAACTTCAGCAAGGCCATGTTTCTTGTCACAAATCAGCGACTACGATGCGATGGTTTAGAGATAAATAACAACATACTTTTTTGTTAGATTGGACTGCACAGTCTCCAGATCTTAATCCCATTGAGCACATATCGGCTATTTGGAAGCAAGTATAACATCGATAACTGCCTTAAAGAATGCCTTAACGAGCTATAAGTGCGGACGAATGTATAAAGCCTGTACGCAGCATGCCTGAAAGAATTTCTGCCGTTATTAAGGCGAAGGGTTGACCTACTAAATATTAATGTTATTATCACTAATTCATTATATTGTCACTGTTTTACTAAGAAAACTTTATTACTTCACTTGGGGTGCCCAGTATTGTTGGCCAAAGATGTATTTTTAACTTTAATTTTCGAATTTTTTCACTTAGATGTTTTGGTTTGTTTTGCTTATTTTGTCAAACTGTGATTGATAAGAATGAAATATTGTAACATAAGAGAAAAAATGACGTAAGCTGATCATAGTTTTGCTAGACGCAAATAATGAAAAACATACAAACTTAACTCATACACGCTGTGAAAAGTGAATTTGTGTTATGAGATATATATGGAATTAGTGGAAACATTCTGTAAGCAACGAATATTGATATTTAAATAAGCACTAAAAAAAGAAAAAGAACATAATAAACAAAAATGGCTTTTGATTATTTGGAGTACGTTTTATCGTAAAATGAAAATATTCGTACCCTTTATCACAGGAAAGGCGTGTTCAAGCAACTGAGTTTCTTGATGGCCAACTAAAGTCAGAAAAACATAATTTTAATTTATTAATTTTTGTTAAGCGATCAGTTCAAGTAAATTAGATATTTTATTAATTACTTAGGCTTAGCTGAGCTTAGCATGTTCAGGGCTCCCGTTTACTTACATTGAATAAATAACACATTTTAGTACATAAATATAAATTCAAACTGAACAGTTAGAAAAGAGAACTTACTAATATCAATCGCTAGCACAATTTTGTGAGTTGCAGTCTTAATTTCTTTGCAGTGAAAGAGGGGGAGAGGTCGTGGAGATAGCAGTTTACTTTCGAATATAAGTCATCAATATCCTGGCCAGACAGCAATATTGAGCACTCATCGGTATATTAGATCAGGGAAACCATTTCGGAGGAAAGAGCTTAGAGATATAGAAGTTAGACAGCAATGGAGAGACGGCACTACCTAGCGGAGCCCCTTGTTTAACCTTTCTGAGTTTTGGTCTCGACATTATACAAATAATTGACGACTACTCAGGTAGCTCATGAAACACCCACGACTGGACGGAAGAGTAGCACGATTTGGTGAATGATGCATTTTATGAGCCCCCGGAGAGTACTTATGAGCGCTGTCCCCGCCACGATGTGACAATCGTGCGAGGCGATCTTAAATCATCAAGGAAATTGAGACGTCGTAAAGCTGCATTCACAACAGACTGTCGAGCGGTTTTTTAATCGACTTGCACTGTTGCTCCCTGAGAGCACTAAACAGCAACTCAGTATAAGGGAACTGTGGGAAGGAATTTCGCAATACCTACGTACAGCGGCAAAGCGGCCGCAGTAGCTGAGTGTAGTGGCCGAGATGCGTGAGTAAAAAGAGCTTGAGAAGCTGGCCGACAAGGTTAATGCTCGGAAATTGGAAGCAGACTTTTGTAGGAAACAAAAAGGTGGCCACCGATGCCCAGAGTATACTGAATTTAAGGAGGGAACACATTTCCAACCAGCTGAATAGTAGAGAAAATAATACACGCGGAGATGGTTAACCCGAAATCTCCATATATGGCTATGAAAAAGACGTTTCACTTCCCGATTATTTCAAATAGGACCCCACAGTCTGCGCCAATTATTGAGGCGAGCCTCCTTAAAACCGTTTATTAGGACCCGTCGAGTGCATTGTATGAGAGACTACAGCCCACTGTCAATAAACTGATTGGATCTTATCAGTGTGGCTTAAGACCTGGTAAAACAAACGCTGACCAGATATTCGCTAAATCATAGAAAAGACTTAAGTAAATATGTACGATCGACGTGGTGTGCGTTGATTTTAAAGCTACCTACAACAGCACGAATAGGAGCTACCTTGACGCCGCTATGTATGAATTTTTTACCCCGCAAACTTAAACGGCTATGTAAACTGAACATATGCAGCACTAAAAGCTCCGTCAGGATCGGGAAGAATCTCTCCACCCATGTGACTTTTTAACTCATAGCTGGAAAAAATAATACGAGCTGCAGAGTTAAATAGAGAAAGTGCAATATTCTGTAAGATTGTATAGCTGCTGGCGGGCGCCGATGATATTGACATTATCATGCCTCAATAACCGCACCGTGAGCTCTGTATTAAGAAGCGAAGCATATGGGTTTGGTAGTGAACGAGGGCAAGACGAAATGTATTCTGTCATCAAACATCTTCCCATTCGCGACTTGGCTCCCATATCACTGTTGAAAGTCATAGTTTTGAAGTCGTAGACAACTTCGTCTTTCTTGGAACCAGTATTAACACCAAAAACAATGTCAACCTTCAGATGCTACTTTGGTTTTAGTAGGCAAAAGTAAATTCCTCTCTTTACAAACAATAACCAAACTTCCATATGGCACAGAAGCGTAGCCTATGTCAACATCTGATGAGTCGGCTTTGGGAGTCTTCGAATACCGCAGACGAGAGAACGATGAGTAATGCGTGTTTCAAAAGTGTACGCTAATCACATTTAGTTGTAATAACGTGCATACATCAAATTTTATTTAAAAAGGCTTTTATTATATAGATTAGTGTTATTAAACGACTTTACGAGGATTTTAAATTTTTTCGGTAATTTTCCTAAAAACATTGGCGAAAGAAAAATTATTGTAAAACTCCGCAAAGAAGGCCAAAACTACAAGATGATTTGAAAAACTGTGGGTAGAGCATGGATATCAGTTCGAACAGTTGTTGTAAACTTAAAAGAGACAGGAATGACCTCAAATATTCCGGCGAAATTGTCCGCCTCGGGCTCCTTTATATCATACCTGAACAGCTCCTAACTCCAACACTATCACCTAAGTTGATTGCAATGGAGCATCACCGGGCGTTGTTGGAGCGGAAACAATGAAATGTGGCATAACAAGTAAATCAATGTTAAAGGAAGTTATAAAGGAAGAATGGGGAAAATTACATCTGATAAGATTGCAAAGCTGGTTAATTCTTTGCAAAATAGACTGTGGGAAGTCCTTAAATATCGACGATTCCAAGCTCGTTTTTATTTTTTCCAAACCTGTGTGTGTTTTTACGTTATGTGCTGCACATGGCGAACAAGAAGCAGCAAATGCCATTACACACATTTCATAACCGTCCGGCTGTTTCTCACATCTCTCCACAGAAAGCGTTGGGCACATCTGTCTTCTAGGTAAATGAGAACCCGATGAAATATCTTCTTAATGTCACCACGTACACCCACGGCTTGTTTTCATTTACCAAAGCAAAGTGTGGCAGATTCCAAGTAAGTGGCGTTGTCAACATGGCTCCTGGCGGTGCAAGTTTACGGGCATATCATTTTTCAACGTAGGAGTGTATCATCTGCTTGTAACTTGGGGAAAACATTGAGTCACGACTCATACACTTTTCCATACTTATAAGTCTTTTGAGGGCCATAGCGTTGCTGTGAGGAAGCTGCACGTTTCCTTGTTTCCATAAAATACCAGTTTTAAATCTCATACCGACACGCCGAGTCGTCTACTTCAGGATGGCTCTTGCTCAGACATAATCATCGCACAACAAGAGGTGCGGCTCCCACCCGGAAACTTTCAGTCTTGAAAAAAGTTGATGATCACGCTCTGCAATGTCTAGTCTAGATTAGTGTTGGCAAACATGCAAACGGATGACCTCGGCAAATTGGCGCTAGTTAGCTTGAACACTACCCGGCACGAC